GTGTGTGTGTGTGTGTGTGTGTGTGTGTGTGTGTGTGTGTTCTTCCTCACTACCGAATCAGCTGAAACCACAGACAGCCCAACTGGAGCGCCGTCCAAATCCCTCTGCATGCAAATTAAAAACGCAACAATAAACGTGGCAAAGGAACAAGGTGGGCACGCAGGCTTTATGGCCCCCTCTCCCCCACCTTTCTCTCTCTCCTTCCCTCCCTTTATGTCTCTCTCTCCCTCTCTTTCTCCCCCTCTCGCCTTCCTCCAAAACCCCTCCTGGGTTTGATGTGGCTTATGGGAGGAGTTGGAACAGGGGACAACCAAACTGCTGAGTTATCTCTTGCATGCAGTGTGGCGGCGTGGCTCTGCCCTCTGTGTGTGTGCGTGTGTGTCTGCGTGCAGACCAGCAGCACGGTGTAATCCTGTGGAAATGAAAGGTGCTGCCGCGCACTGGCCGGGAGATTACAGCGCCGCTCTGTCGCGCTGCCAGGACAGACTACCCGGCTGAGAGAGCGGCCCTCCGTAACACACACACTCGCACACCTCGCTGCCTGTCTTTGACGCCGCGTTTCCTCCTCGCTGCTTTCTGCTCCCCCGGCCATCCCTCCTTCTTCATCCTCTCTTGTTCCTTTACAGCTCTCTTCTAGCTTCACTACAATTCCCACATCACTGCAGGCCCCCCCACTTCGTTACCCTTCTCTCTCTCCCACGCAGCTCTTCGGTGCGTTGTTTCCTTTCACTCTTACTCACACACTCACACGCTGGCCTGCTGAGGTTTAGGTCATCACGTCTGACCACGTCACTCTGCCCCTGTAGAGCCCTTCTGTCTGTGCAGTCCTCAGTCTTTCACTCGGCTCCGTGAGCAAACATAAACACACATTTAGCAACTGTGACCGTGAGGCGTTTCTGTTTGTAAAGAAATGAAAGGGAAGGGAGATCAGTAGTTAGAATCGAGTAACACCGATGTTACCAACACTTTAAATAATAGTTTGATCAAGCAACAGTTCTGATCATTTTCTATTTTTATTGTGTTCTCCCGTTATACTGGGGAAGCAAACATTTTAAATCTTTCATATTTGGAAAACAAAACGTGGCCTGACTTTGCTAAATCTTCATGTTTTTTGCTGTTTATGTGGATGCCAGTCGACATCAGCAAAATCTGATGGTACCAATAATAAGCTGACATGTTGGTGCATCGCTACCTGCAGCTGTTTTTATGAGCAATAATCCCGCCCACTGATTTCTTGGTCATTTCAATTTATCATTAGATTCGAATATGTATTGTATCTTGATCTTCAAACATCCAATGAACATATGAACTCGAACATCTTGATTATTTTAGCAACTGATTAGTTCCCTATTTAAACAACAAAAATTTTATATAACAAAGAATAAAATATCAAAGCAGTATGACCAAATGAAAGGAGGCCAACTGTTATCATGCATGTTTAAGTCACGTTTGCAAATACATGAACAACTACGAGTGAAATACATGTGGAGGGGGGGTTAGCGCTTCCTGTCGGGCTCTCGCTGAATCTTTTAATCACCAAGGTCAGACCTCTTTGTGCATTGTGTTAATCAAATAAAGCCTTTTCTTACTGCACTTGTCTTATACTGTTCCTCAGCTCTGTCTTTCATGGCCCTCTGCTGGAGCATTTTAAACATGGGAGTCACTCACTTCCTCCCAAGGGTGCTACTCAATATGCCAGTATGTCTTTCTTGTCATATTAAAATGTTCCCTCCTGCTGTGCTGCTTGACCTTGTCTACCTTACGTCTTCATCTTCAGCTGTGTGACCCAAAAAAAAAAAAACCAATGGTGCATTTTATGAGTGGTTTTCGTTTTATTTTGTTCATTTTAGTGAAAAAATGTGTTTATTATTTTGAAATGGTGTCACAGTGGCTTTTTCTTCCTCACAGTACTTTGATGCTTCCGATAGAAGCAGCTCTGTTTTAAGGTTTCGTAGGCTGGTTGATTGTTTGGCCTTTTTAGGGCTGCAACTGTGCTTAAACATTTTGGAGATCACGGTATAATTTGCAGTACATTCTATTCTTACTGATTTGTATCCTTTTTCTCCTTCCTTCCTTTCAAATGTTTTGTCCAGGGCTGGCTCTGTGAGCTGCTGCGCTGGAAAGAGGATCCGTCTCCAGAGAACCGAACACTCTGGGAGAACCTCTCCATGATCCGACGCTTCCTGAGCCTCTCTCAGGCCGAACGCGATGCCATCTACGAGCAGGAGAGCAGCGCCGGCCAGCAGCACCACAACGAGCGGCCGTCGCACTTGATGCACATTTCCAGTGACCAGCTACAGGTGAGTGTGATATTTTTCACCAGATTATGACCTGAGCCAGTGCCTTTGGGCAAGGCACCGAGCTAAAACTACAACAGATGTGTTCCAGAACATGAATATTGAATCACTGAATATGTTTCTGGGGCTGAATCCACTGGTTGGCTGTGGCTGATCACGTGTTGGGTTAACTGCTTATTCTAAACTGTGGATGTCAAAGTAAAATATAAGGTGCTCCCCTCCCCCAGCTGTTAAAAAAATGGATAGATGGGTCACTAATTGCTAAATCAAAGCAATTTGATTATTTGTGCTTGTGATTTGGATCTCTTTTTGGTACAATTACAATATTATGTAACAGTGGAGAGAATCATTTTTAAAAATCCTAATGAAGTCTGATTATTGTATCTGTGCATATCCTGTTTTCCAAAGGTCTGTGTCGAGAATAATTTAGTTAAAAAAAAGGGGGGGAAACCTTAATTTTCCCCATTTGACTTCTTCTTTCAGTAATTCTCCAGGAATTCGAGTAAACAGCACTCAGGAGTTTCTGCGAACACATAAATTAACAACACGGCAACACTTAAAAGTTGCTACTTTTTAAGCAAAAACCATTTTCAAAGATATCATTAGGCTGAACTTGCTTAACAGAGCTGCTTTATAAGAGACATCTGGCAGATGAATAGAAAATAACACACAGGCTCGGTTAACGGTCGAAACATCTTAATGAAGTACAATAATACTTCTATTAAAAGTCTGAGCCACAGCAGAGTGGTTGATTAGTTATTTGGTTACTTGGATACAATGGCAGCGTTTCACAAAGACTGTCATTTAGTGGATATAAATAAGGTAATAGGATTTCTTTGACAAATCAGTTTGAGCAGCAGATATGGAATGAGGGAATTTTGTGCATACTTTGCATGCAAATGCGAAACGGTTGCAGATTGATAAAATAGGATTATTTCTGATTTAACGGTGCAGTTTTACAGTGTCCATAAGAGACTGGCGTTTAACTATTTTGCGCTGCTCTTTTACTAACGTGATACATTAGCCAAATTAGCTCACATTTGCTCAACAAGAACTAGCCCGGCTCAGTATATGGGTACAGTAAAAATCACATCTTTGGGCGCATTTATGCAGCTGGCAAGCAGAGTCCCTGCAAAGTGCTGTTTTGCAAACTTCATTATGAAACACCTATCTACAGCGTCTGACTCAGAAATGAAAATAAAAGAGCGCCCATTCTGCAGGGTCAATAGAGACCACGAGTTGCCCACTCGCTCGCTCTCCAACCACACAATGAGACATTTTACGAGTAATGTGTCATGTGTTTACACTAACGGGACTCTGACGGCAGAGCGAAAGCCATCGATAGCATTCTCACACGGCGGCAAATCAGCCGGACCATCGCGATGTGAATTGTGCACAGGGAGCTTGTTTATCACTGCCGGGCAATAGAGGCACGATAAGCAGCGCAGGATATAATAGAGAGGCCAGTTTGCCTGTGAATTCCCAGTGTGCGTGGAGCCGATCGTGTCACTCATGTGTACGAGTGTCTCTGGTGTGGTGTGGGGCTGTTGCCTCCTCTACCTCCACAATGAGACTCAATCTCCCACTACCAAAAAAGGAAAAACATCATATCTGCAGAACTGATTGCATTCAATGAGATATTACATGGAAAATTCCTTCAACCAAGTGCCTGTTCTATACACAGCAGGCCCATTTTTCCTCACAACTCAATTGATTTTAATGAAAGGCCTTATTAAGGCGCCGATAAGTGTTCACTGATAACATCCCCATCTCCTTTCTCTTCCCTCTTTCCTTTTTTTTCTTCGCTGCAGGCTCAGCCGCCTCAGACGCAGCAGCAGCACCAGCCCTCCATGTCCCTCCACCCCTCCCAACAGCCCTTGCAGCAACAGCAGCCCAACACCGGTCCCCGGTTGCCACCTCGCCAACCCTCCACCGCCTCTCCGGCCGAAACGGAGGACGAAGGCAGCCGCGGAGGGAGCATCAAATCCCGCACGGGCGGAGGCAAGATCTCCCTGGAAGCTCTAGGTATCCTGCAGAGCTTCATCCAGGACGTGGGCCTGTACCCCGACGAGGAGGCCATCCACACCCTTTCAGCCCAGCTGGACCTGCCCAAGCTCACCATCATCAAGTTCTTCCAGAACCAGCGCTTTTATGTCAGTCACCCAGCAAAGGCACCCAAGGAGCCCATTAACAACAACAACAACGCCGCCACCATCGCAGCCATCGTCAACAACACCACCAGCAGCAGTAGCAGCAGCAGCAGCCCGGCCTTTGAGGAAGAGCTGACGGACTTCAGGGAGAGCGGAGAGCTGCTGAAGGAGCTGGACGAGAGCACGCAGACCAACAGCACCATCTTCTCCATCAAGATCGAAGAGCAGCTGGGCCGAGGCGCCGAAGCCCAGTCCGAGTCGGAGCACGAGGCCAAGGAGTAGGACTCTCCCTCTGAAACATGTACTGAGAGTTTTCCTGTGCACACAGACTGGTGACTGTGCTAAATGTAACGCTCTGGCCGCCACAGAAACACCACACTGCAAACAAAGAAAAGTAGTGTTTTCAATCAGTACAGCATCTGGACTGTATGAGGAGTGTTCATATATATATATATATATATATCTATATATATATATACACACACACATATATGAACTCACAGTGCGAAATGAGTGTTCACACACTGGAAAGCCCATTTCAGACTCAGTAATACAAAAAGTACTACTTTTTCGATTTTGTAAAACTTGTATTATTCACTGTAAAGACTGATGCATCGTTTAAATAATCTGCACAAAAAAAATTATTAAGTATGTTGCCGTGGATATTTGCTGACTGCACTCTATGTCTGTTGTTTTACACTGACTTACTTTATCTTTTTGAGCTACTGATTATTGAAAAAGGAAAAAAAAAGTTCCCCTGGAGTTTGCTAGGACTTCGATAGGTGTTTACGTATGTGATGTTTAACTGGATTTTTTTTTTTTTTTAAGAAAATAGCAAATGAAATCAAGGACCATGTGGATGACAAGGCCTTAATTATGAGGTATCAAGTCTGGAGCCTGCTGGCAGATTAGTTATTCTTTTTAAAAAGCGCATAATGTGATTATGGATCACTCCAAACTCTGGAACGCGATCACCCAGCCCAGGTGCATCTACGAGAATAGCTCAGTCTCTTTACATATTATTTGTTAGGGAAGAAATATAAATATATATATATATAGACATTATATTGTAACTGTAAAAAAAAAATACAGTCTTAAAAAACTATGCCAACAAATGCCTTGTACTATACGGCACTGCCGATGTTAGATTATTTTGCAAAACCTTTGTCACTGTAACTTTCTGAATTGCCACACAGTTGGAAATGTGAATTTCACAATGTTTATGTTGTCTGACATTATTTATTTGCAGTTCATGCAGTGTTTCTGATGTAATTACTTTTTCTAAAAAAAAAAACTAAAAAAAAAACAGTTTACGTTTCCTCGTGCGCGCTCTCTCTCTCTCTTTTTTTTATTCCACCAATCTTGTTTCTATTTATAAATGTAATTTCAGTGGGCAGTAAAAACAAGAAGTGTCTTAAACGTTTTAAATGGAGAAATGTGCTTTAAAGGTTGCCTATAAAAAGTGCTGTATGTCAAGCAACTCATGCTACAAGCTTCACAATTAATGTTGTATGCAATTTTTACTATCATGCAAATAAGCTTAGGTAAAATGACTAACCTATAGAACACCTTAGAAAGAAAAACATATGCAATCTGTGTGAAAATCGATGTCTGCGATGTGTCTTCCTTTGGTTAAGAATCCAATTCAAAAAGCTACTCCTGTATAAATATTCTGTAAAAAAAAGTGTTTCTTTTTTATGAGTTCATTCCAATGAGAACACCAGTTATTTTGTTACGACTGACTGTTTTATAAGTGTTTCTCGGTTCCTTTCGGCAGAAATGTTCTAACTAGAAGTGGTTATTGATTGTTAATTACACAATTAAACTGTTTGTATTGTACCACAGATTTCTTGGCATTAACTTGACCAGGCTCTTGACACCAGAGGCGTGTTTGTCTCCTCTGGAAACAGGAGAGGAAACAATGTGAAATGGTTGCTTTTTTTTGGTTTTTCTTGGTTTTCTTTTTGCTTTTTTCTTTCAAAGATCAACTCCAGTTACTGACTCATTCCGCTGCGATCACTGAACCCATGTCACTTGTAATATCTGTAAATATCACATCTTATGAATCATTGATTGTTTAATATTGTAAATATATTTGAAGTTTGTGCAAAAGCTCACCGTACAAAGCTGAATCGCCATTCTGTCGTGCCTCTTCCTCCCAAAACCGACTGTACCGGGGCTCTTCCGCTGCATCTCCACTTCTACATGCTGAGTGTATGTGAACCACCTTTGAAATCTAAAATAAATAAATGTTAGGTGTGAACACCTGTAATAGCAAAGCCCTCTGCAGGAAGTTCGGCTATAAAACAGCGCAGGTGTCCTGACCTTGCCGTAAACCCCAGGCGGGGCCAGGTCTCTAAACCTTTAGGAAATTACCCCCACCCGTTCACACCCTGAGATATGTGCCAGCCTGTCTGGACCAGTGTTCCCTTTGTGTTGTGCCGTTTTTATCCCATAAATATAGAAAGAAATCCACAGTGCAATGTTGCGTGCAATGTTGCGTACAATGTTGCGGGAAAAGAACAATCAAACGAAACAGACATATAGAAGTGTCAGATGCTCTCAAGAGGACATCCTTTTGTCAGAGGTGATCAGAGGGTACACGATAAGTGTTAAGAGGTGATAAAAAAAAAACATTACCGCATGTCACAGAGCAAAGAGGCGCCATTATGCTTCATTATTTCTCCATTTTGACATTACAAATGGCTTACTCGCTGACAAACAGAGGTGAAGGCACCAACAAACAGGAACTCTAGCGTAATACTCCTCCTCATTATCACTGTTTTCACAAGGATCAGCTATATTTGCCGCACGCTTACAAAAGGTTTTTCTACACAGATGGCTAATACTTTGCTCTAACAGTGGTTCAAGACTTGATTTCTGATGTTTTCTGGAAAAGTTCAGCTATAAAGTGAAATATCCTACAGAGGGGTTATCCGGTGTTCTCCAGCAGCTGTAAAAAAAAGTCTTGGGCAAACATGGTGTTATTTCAGGGGATCGTGAGATGAGGAGGTTTGCCATGACAAGAAAGAGCCAGTTCTGTTTCACCATGGGTGGGTATCATGGGTGATTGCTCAGAGAAGACTGGCAAGCGCCGAACAGGTTTGATACTCCATCTCCATTAGGCTGTTCGCTGGCTCTCCACGCCACCACACGCACTTCAAAGACTTTCCCTGATGTCAAAATAGAAATCATAATTACGACAAGAATGGTGACTGATGAATCACTGACTCCGTTACCCCCGGGCGCCTCATGCTGTTGCTTATTTAGAAAAAAAATTAGCAGGCTACACAAATTTACCAGAAAGCTTGTAGATGATGCCACATCATACTGTGGTATGCCGCCGGTGGAGAAAGAAGCCCAGCAGATACAGTGTCTTCTTGTGATATTTGTAGAAATCCTCAGCGTCAGAGCAAATAAACAGCTTCCACATAAAGACGTGGCTGGCAGACGGTGGGCTGGAGAGGCTGAGGTCAAAATGCCAAACAAAGTTTATTTTTAACTAAATTCACAGGTATGTATATTTGGATGGCACAGGAGGTATCCAACTTTAAGCGGAGATATCATGTCGCATATTAAGTGATATTTTACCTGCAGGTCATAGGAGCTTAATGGATTTGGTGTAGAGCTTTGCCTTACACTTTGCACAGGCCAGGCATGGAAGTTCAGCAATAATCCAACATGCACAAAAAAGTCTGTTTTTTAATTGCGTGTCAGTTTTACATTCATAAATATATGATATATATATTTTTTATTACATATATTTTTGACTGGCAACTATTCATCTCAATTAGGTTTAGTACTTTATGTTAAAATTATGTTATCCAAATGAATGGAAGATACACTTTTAATATTTGGTCCAAATATTTTGTAATATTTTTAAATATATATAT